GGTTGAGCATCGACCCACGCACCAAGAGGTTGCCAGTTTGATTCCCAGTCAGGACATGTGCCCAGGTTGTGGGCCTGATCCCCCCAATGGAGGACATGTAGGAGGCAGCCAATCAATGTTCTCTCTCATCAATGTTTCTCTCTCTCTAAACCTCTCTCAATAAGGGGAAAACAAAGTTTATTTCATTGCTAATTGGTTTCCTTTCAAGACACCTGGGTTTAAAAAATAAAAAGAGCCCTGGCCCGTTTGGCTCAGTGGTTAAAGCGTCGGCCTGCGGTACAGAGAGACCCGGGTTCGGTTCCCGCTAGGGGCGCGTTCCTTGGTTGCAGTTTGTCCCCGGCCCTGGTTTGTCGTGCGAGTGGCAGCCGCTCGATGTGTCCCTTCGCGTCGATGTTTCTCTCTTTCTCTCTCCCTCCCGCTCTATCTGAACAAAAGGTGGAAAAATGTCCTCGGGTGAGGATAAAAAATAAAAATAAAATAAAAAATAAAAAGAATCACATATAATTATCTTATCAATTGACCACAAATGGGCTTTTCTAATGTACTTGAAAATAATCTTAACATCATCCTTCAAATTGAATTTACAAATGATCAATTTGCTTAACAACCTTTCCCATAGACAGAAACGTAAAATTCAACAAAATTAGAATTAGATCAAATAAATAATACCCACTGAAGATTTGTACAAAAATCAGGAATATGATATTCTTGCACATATTTGTGCATTTTAAATACAATAACCACTTTTCTAACAAAAAATACAAAAAGCTCAAATGATATGAAGACAGAGGTTTTTTTGTTTTTGTTTTTTAATCCTCACCCGAGGACATTTTTCCATTTTTTGCACAGACAGAGTGGGAGGGAGAGAAAGGAAGAGAGAGAGAGAGAAACATCGATGTGAAAGGGACACATCGAGTGGCTGCCACCCGCACGACCAACCAGGGCCAGGGACAAACTGCAACCGAGGTACACGCCCTAAGCGGGAACCAAACCCGGGTCCCTCCGGACCGCAGGCCGACGCTCTAACCGCTGAGCCAAACCGGCCAGGGCGAAGAGAGAGTTTTATAACACTATTTTGCAAAGCAACCTAGGCAGACCTAAAATCAAGCATATTTCTTGTAGTGGTGACTTGAGTAAGATAGTTCAAAATATACCATTAGTTTCTACGAAGAATACAGTCAGGTCTTCACTGACCTTCTACCACTTATTTCTCCCATCTAAACATAGCTTTTAGCTATGCAAATAGCTTGGTGATCATTACTAATATAACTTCCATCCTTAGAAATAATTTAACAGTTGCTACATTTCAAACAATTAATTGCCTATTGAGTTTCAGGGTTTTTTAAAATCCAAAAACAGTACTTTGACTACATAAACTACATAAACATCTAAAATTACATTAGTATTCACACTAAACATAGTCTTTTATATGAGGTTAATATATTTGGTATATTGTTTTATTTAAAAAAAAAAAAAAACCTGTGCCCTGGCTGGTTTGGCTCAGCAGTTAGACCAAAGAGTCTCGGGTTCGATTCCAGCCAAGGGCACGTACCTGGGTTGTGGTTCATCGTGGCCCCAGTTGGGGTTGTGCAGGTGGCAACCAATCAATGTGTCTCTCTCATATCGATGTTTCTTTCTCTCGCTCCCACTCTGTCTGAAAATAAATGTAAAAATACCCTCCGGTGAGGATTTAAATAAATAAATAAACCTGTCAACTTTTTATATTTTTATTTATTTTTTCTTTATTGATTTGAGAGAGGGAAAGAGGAAGGGAGAGGGAGAGAGAGAGAGAAACATGAATGAGCGAGAACATCAATTGGCCCCCTCCTGCATGCACCCCCACTGGGGATCGGGCCCACAACCTGGGCATGTGCCCTGACTGGGAATTGGACTGGTGACCTCTTGGTGCATGGGTTGACGCTCAACCACTGAACCACACCAGCCGGGCAACCAGTCAAATTTTTTAAATGAGGTTCTTCCAATTTAGTTTGTTTGGCAACCAGCTCACTAACTCATAGAAGACAATGAAAAATTTAAAAATGTTCCCCAGTCAAGTATTATCTCTTTGCCCCCTTCCCAACTGAATACCTGAGTCTATACACATGTTAATACAGAGTTTAAGAACCATTATACAATGTTAAGTGATTTTTTAAAAAGTTAATATTTCTGCCCGGGCCGGGGTGGCTCGGTGGTTGAGCGTCGACCAATGCACCTAGAGGTTGCCAGTTTGATTCCCGGTCAGGGCACATGACCAAGTTGTGGGCCCAATCCCCAGTGGGGGCCATGCAGGAGGCGGCCAGTCGATGTTTTCTCTCATCGATATTTCTATCTCTCTCTCCCTCTCCCTTCCTCTTTCTCTAAAATCAATAAAGAAAAAAAAATTTTTTTAAGTTATTATTTCTTAAAATTCAGTTTCTGCTACTAAATTAGCTGTAGGTAAAAAGAGTTAAAATTACTGGACTTCAAGTCAGAAGACCCTGCATTCAACTCCTGATTCTACCACCTACCAGTTATATAACCAGGAGCATGTGACCCACCTGAGACTGGCTCATCTGAGAAAACTTGTTCAACAGACCTTCAAAAAAGAATCACCTCACAAAACTTTAAGAAATAAATATTTAAAATACAAAGTAGCAAGTATAACAAAACAACCACTCAAGTATGTATTACACACAAACCCCCCTCCCCTGCCCCCAAAAAACTTTCTTTCTCAAAAAGGTTTGCTTGCTGGAACTTTTAAGTTCCCTTAAATTGCTTAAAATTCATATAAAGTTGGAAATAATACCGAAATACACCAGTAGGAAATATTGCAAATAATAACAGCAGAAATGTTGGAAAAAAGTCTCACATCTTCCCCAAATAAAAAATGCATTCAAATTGTTAAGTTCTGAGACAATAAAGGGCTACATCCAAATGAAGGATGGTTTCAATTTTAACCAAACACTAGCACATTCAGTTTCAGTTAAGTAAATTCATGATCTTTTTTTTAACCTTCATCATGGTTCTCAGATATTTTTCTCACAAACACAAAGCAGTAATAGTAAGGAAGTAGTTTATCCCAAAATGCTTATGTCAGAGCAACAAAAATTGGAACAAGAATATCTGGCAAATAATGTGGCCACCAATGGACTGTAAAGGTAGAGCCCATAAACAGCTTTGGGTAAGACCTCATAAATATCAAAAGAGGCATTCCACATTTTGAGAATATAGGTCATTGCTAAGCAGAAGCTTCAGCATGGGACCAGTCCAACTGTAATCAAGTTCAGCAATTTGAGAACTGACTTGAATTCAATCCTACTTCAAAATATGTGATAACTACACCTGAAGAATATGAACTTATATAGTCCCAGTTTGTTAGAACATCATTCCCATACTTCAAGGATCTGGGTTCAATCCAGTCAGGGCACATACAAGAACCAACCAATGAGCCTGGTCAGTGTGGCTCAATGGATTGAGCATCCTCCCATGGACTGAGAGGTAGGTCCAGTTCGATTCCCGGTCAGGGCACATGCCCACATTGTGAGCTGGATCCCCAGTGGGGGACGTGCAGGAGGCAGCCACTCGATGTTTCTACCTCTCTCCCTTCCTCTCTAAAAAAAAAAAAAAAAAAAATCAATAAAAACAAAACAAGAACCAACCAGAGAATGTATACATAAGTTGAACAGGTCAATGTCTCAACCTCTCTCTTCAAAACAAATAAATAAATTTTTTAAAATGAACTTATCTAGTAGCCAGAGGCAAGGAATTTTGGTGCTAACCCTTCGAAAGCAGCAGGTAGCAAACTATCCTGAACAAAGAGTTTAAAATTATCTTCATGGGCTTCAGAAGCAAATCAATGTCTTAAAACTACACTTCAACTAAATTTCCCTCAAAGCCTTAATGGCACCATAATAAAGCACAAGACACCAAATCTTAGATTCTAGCCCAAGTTCTCATGTTGCTGTGAATAACCTTGGCATTTAATATGCTTCATTCATTTCTTCTGTGAAGAAGAAAGGACAGATTGTTTCAAGGAATAAAAACTAATAGTGGAAAAATTAGATTCTTAAAATGAAACATGGCCAACTTTTTGTTGTACAAATCAAGTAAAATTACACATGTAAAACTGTTCAAGAACAATGCATGCCACATCTTAAACACTTAGTATTAGCTATTACACTGATTTTAATAAACAGAAAAATATATTTAAAACCAGACCAGCAACCTGAATATTTAATAACAAAATCCTGTCTATTACCCAGGCATTCAAACTCTTAGAATAAATATATTAGTTTAGCCTACCAGATAATGCAATAGGAAAAATAAGTTAAAGATCTCTTTGCTGATAGGTTTTTATGATTAACATTTACAGTAAAAGTCTTTTATTTATTCTAGCTGTCATAATTTTTAATATTCCTTCCTTCAAAAAAAAAAAAATCTTGGTTACCAGAATCACAAATTCTTCAGACAAATCTTTCACTTCTATTTGTTTCCAAGTATAATCAAGCCTAAATATCCAAGTCTATTAGCAATGTCAGAAATCCTAGATGTACCTTTAAAAAAACAGTTTGCAGTCCATCAACAGAACTGTTTTAACTGGCTATTATACCATTTAGAATGGAGATAACATCAAAGTGTAAATCATCTTGAATCCTACAAAAACAACAGATTTGGTAATCAAAAAGCAGGATGTGTGCAAGAGAGAAGACATGACTGGAGCAAGAAGCCCCAAATCCTCCAATCCGTGGCTATATATAGTCTTGGGAAAGCCACTCATCTCTGAGCCTCGATTTATTTTTCTGTAAAATGGGAATAATCTCACTCTTCTTACTAAGTTGTTTGGAAGCTCAAATGAGGAAAGTACTTTACAGCCTAAAATGTGTAATAAAAACATATTACATACATTATTTTGTTATTGCATGAGCAGTAAGTTCCTTGACACGTTATATTCTAAATACAAACTTTTGATGTCAAAGTAAACCATTAGTGCTATTTAAAACTATTTTAAAAAAAAATCTTGCCTTAGATTGTGTTCTCTTTCCATTTCTCATGCTAAACTTCTCCTTCATTTCTTCTAAAACTATCTTCAGTTTCTTTTCTTCAGGTGTCCCTAAGTATTTTTGATTCACATGAAGATAACAATGCCATTTGGCTGATTCAAAGCCCCAGTGGCAAGTCCTTTTGTCCGGTGATCTGTGAGAATGCATCACAAATGTCTGGGGCGCAAACATTCCGCAGCACTCCAGACACTGAATACACGGAGCATCAGGCTGAACATAAAATTGGGGTGCAAACAGACCCTGACATTTGCCCAAGCATTCATGTTCCACTTCAAAGGCACTGCCAGTTTCCTTTAACTGAGCCAATGAGTTTTTAGCAGGAAGTATGCTACCATTTTGAGGAAAAGTGCGTGGCCGCAATAAAGCGTTACATAGTCTCTGTGCATCAGTTAAGGTAATCAGCCCACAGGATGGGGCATTGAATGGAAGTATTCCCAAGACCTTTAAGATATGAAGTTGATCTGAAGTACACCTCGAACAATAGATGTACAATTCGTCACACACTGTATTTATTTGCTGGAGTGAAAATTCTCGGAGAACAGAATTTAAGACTTGGGGCAAACAGAGTCTCTTTTCTCCTCCAACCTGAAAACAAGATATAGATTCCCCTTCCAACACAGTCTGGGTGAGTTCCGTGGAGCTATCAGAAGGGATGAGCAGTGGACCAGGAAGAACCTGAGGAGATGGAAGAGGCAGAAATACAGTAGGTGACATGCTTTCTTGGGAATACCGAGCGGAAAATGCTGCTGGTCCACCCAGAGAGCTCTGACTACTTAAATGAAATTGTGCCAAAGTGTGTTTCAAACTGGGATTTAAATGTAAAGGTTCAGGCACCGAGGTACAGGTTCGCTTAACATGCTCTCCATCAGTTTCCATTGGCGCTTCATAGTCATCCAAGTGTTCCTTTTTCACTGTTGGCATCTTGTTCATCATTTTTCCATTTGCATGAATGTCTGTCATCATTTTTTTCACTGGAGGGCTGCCATCATCTCCCATTCCATTCATTTTTTTATTTGAGCCCTGAACCAAGGAAAAATTTGTCTGTAGATTTTCCATTGCTAAAAACTATTGTGTTAAATAATTAAGTCTGACACTTGCATTGTTATTTAGCTGCTTATTTGAAGAGAGGCAAGTAATATATACCAGTATGTATGGTAACTTACATATGGTAAGTTATATAAAATTTCTATGGTAACTCAGAAAATTTAAATTTCCAAAGAGTGATCTCCCTAATTTATTAGATTTTCAACTGTTTTGGTTCTGCTTATACTCCAGTATAATTTCACTGCAAGTGCTATAAAATTATCTCCAACAATAAAGAATTTCAAGAGGCACACCTCTGAGGAAGCCTTTGTTTTCTAATTCTTCATTCAGACATATGTATTAAAATAAAATGACCAATTCTCTCAATTCAAGATTTCCAGGTTCAATGCAATGGTTTGGTTTGGTTTTAAGCAAAACAAGTCAAAAGTTTATGAAATTACTTGTGTCATAAAACCTAGACACAAACACAAGTCAAAATGATGCACCCAAATTTAATTTAATTTTTGGCACCAAGACACCAAAAAAGGAAAAAAGAAAAATATCTTCTCTAAAAATGATGATGTTCGTCTGTGTTGACAAACTGAAGACTTGTATAAATCCTCCCACCAGTAAGAAGAGCCTCTGACTCCACTTGAACTTCTACAATTAAAGATGATTGAAAGAAAAATTGCCCAGTTATCTTCAAGGACTGCTGTTCATTCTTCTTTTAATTAATCTGGAAGAGAAGGGGGATGGGAGAGAATTACATTTGAATTTGCTCCAGAGGCCAAAGGGTCAGTTTGAAACCAGTTTCTTAATCTTAAACTGAGTTCACTTTACCAAAGGTGACACCTGAGTGATTTCTTTAACTGTAACACCATTTAACTAGAAGAACCTTCATTTAAATAGGAAAGCAATCTGAATAACTGGTAAAGGGAGCAATAATATCCCTCAAAAGGGAGGGGAGCTACTCCAATTCAAAATAGGAAGAACCTTAAACAGATCATCTCACCCAAAACTCAGTACCAAAGGCTTCTCAATTATGCCATTTTAACTAAAATAATACATTACTAACACCCAGTTTCAACCAAAAAATCGGATACGAGTTAACACATCTACCACATGTAAAGAAGTTACAATGTTAAGTGCAATAATTAATTTAGTTAGTGTATGCTATTTTTCTGGAATGACTATAGGCAAAAATTAACTTTCCTTTAATAGGTTAGCGAATCTGCTTCATGGAAGCCAAAAAGCTATGGCCTCCATGCCTGGGAACCTCCATCCTTGAACAAGACTAATCCAGGACAAAAAGCACAGAGACCTCACAAAGATTGCAAATGGAGGAAGAGGGAAAAAGAAAAGACTCTTCTTCCATTTATTTCCTAAGACAAAATACAAAAGAAATCCAATAGATAGAAAAATTTGTCTCCCAAACTCCCAGCAATCTACCGTAAAACAGACCCAAAGGGTTAAAGAACCAAGGCCACTAGCCAACGTACTGACTTTCGCCCACGACAGGAACACCTCAGCCAACGCAAACCAAGGAAGAGGGCAGGAGGCAAGACCTAGAATGGGGGAGTCCCCGAAACCCTGAAATCCTCCGCCCACGCAAAGTCACCCACCCATCTCAAACCCGAGAAGGAGGAGTGGAGGACAAGAGACCCAGAACGCCTCGGGGTGTGCAAGGGGGTAGGGGAAAGTGGAGGAAAAGGAGTCCCCCAACCCCCACCCGCGGTGTCGGGATAACCCCAAGTGCCCTCCTAACACAGCCCCATGCGGAGGCCCGCGGAGGACGGTGGAAATCCCCCGCGCACCCTCTCTCTGGGAAGTTCTCGGGTGTCACCCCAGCACCCCCTAAAGCTGTACCTACGCCCGCCCGGGGCCAGAGGGAGAAGGGTCAGCGAGCGGATGGGGCGCGCAGCCGGGATCCCCACACCGCCGGGTGCCGACCGGCCGGGTAGAACCCGGGGCATCCCCGCGGAGCGCAGACGGGCGGAGGAAGAAGGGGGGCCGGTGACGGGTGTCCCAGTCTCCAGGGTTCCGACGGCTCCGATCAAGTGCAGCGCCTTTCCCCTGCCCACGCCCACCGCCGGGGTCCGCGAGGCACGATCCGCCGTAGGTCACCTGTCCCGCGCCCCCCTTGGCCCCGACCGCACCCGGGACTCGCGCATCCGGACCCCCGACTCCGGCCTCCACGCCCCAGGGAAGCTCGAAGAGCTTTGTTAGACTCCCCGCTACCCTGCCGCCGCCGTCGGGCACCCCGGGGGTCGCGTGCCCCCTGCCTCCCGCCGCGTCCTCCCCAGCGAGCCCGGGCCGCACCTGTGCCCGCCGCCACCGCCGCCGCCGCCGCCGCTCGCCCGCTCCCTTCAGCTGTGCCGGCGCCGCTCCGAACCCCACACACATCGCTACACACAGCCCTCTGACGTCACCGAGCCCTCGGCCCGCCCACGTCACTGCGGAGACACACGGCTTCCCGCAGACGCCGCCGCCGTCTCCGGCTGCCCGGGGGAGAGCGAGGGCGGCGGGGAGGGGGAGGGGAGGGGAACGGAGCCAGCGGCGGCACCGCGCGCGCGCGCGCGCGGGTCCGCCACCTTCGCTGCTGCCGCGCGGCTCCAGCTCCTCGGGGACGCGCACGCCGTCCGGCCTATTGTGGCTCCTCAGGACTCCCCCCGCCCCGTCGCCGCGCGCGCGCGCGCCCCTCCCCCCCAGGCGCGCACCCGACACTCCTGGCCCCGCGCGCCGTCTGGGCGGCTGGCGCGCGACGCTGTCTGCGGTGCACCCGGCGCAGACAGGATGTTCCCTCCCCGCCCCACCCCCACCGCCACCCTCCCTCCTTCCTTCCTCGAGTAGCCCAGCCGGCTGTCTGGGGCCGCCACCGCCCCGCCCCCGCCCCACCCGCTGCTCTCTGGTGACGGGCCAGACCCGGGGGCGCCCAGGCCGCCCAGCCGCCGCGCGATAGGGAGAGAGGGGGCAGGGCGGCCGCGCTGTGCACTGTGCGCGACCCCAGCAGCCGGCGGGGCGGAGGCAGGGCTCGTCCGGCTGAGCGCCGCTGCCCGAGGTCAGGCACGGGCGACCCTCCCCCGCGGGCCGCAGCTGGGCCGCCCCGCCCCGGAGGCAGCCGGGTGGCGGCCGCCCTGCGGCGCCCCCTGTGTGGGCCCAGGTCCCCGGGGCGCGCCGGGGCTGCTCCCCGCCCCCGCGGGGCCTCCCGCCTCCGGCCGCCCCGCCAGCTGCCTGCGCCTCGCCCCTCCCCGGCGGCCCCCGCCTGGCCCGGGCGGCCTCCGCCCAGACGCCTTCCCCGGGCTGACCTCCATACGCCATCGGGCCAGGCTGGAGTGCTGGCTCAAGTTCCGACGAAACCGGGCGAAAACACTTTTGCCCCTACTTCGCCTCCCTGCCCACCAGACTGCTCTCTCGGTCCCAAAACAGAGGTAGAAATTATATGTTTCTACAGTGTCTACTGAGGGGGTTTTGTTTTTTGTTTTGGAGGGAAACTCGAGAGCTTCCGGCTGTGACCCTCAGGGTGGTCTTCCTGGTCAGTGTTCCCAGGATTACAATTAGCATATAGAACTCTGCGGCGCTGCCGGGTTTTATTTCGAAAGACCGAGAAATCCCCTTTTCTCCACCCCACCGCAAGATCAGGAACAGAAATAGTCCACCCAGTCGCAGTGCACAGAATTCAGAGGACTTGAGCTTTGACCCTTTTATTTCTTTTTGCACATTTTCGAAAATTTTCTCCTGGTTTTACTGCTTCTTGGTGGCTCCTATGGGGTCCACATTTGGAACCGACCATACATTTTTCCTCCCAAAGGGCCTACCGAAGGCTTACAAGCATCTCATTCCCCCCCACTCCCAAGTTCTTGTCCTTACGCCCCTAACGCGGTGCTCCCGGGTGGTGCCCCCTTTCTAGGTTCTCTGCCACCCTCCACCTTCCCCTCCTTCTTGACTGCCTCCTTTCCTGAACATGAATAATTCCGAAGCACTTCCCATCTGTTATTGCCATAGAGACAGAAGCTCGGCAAAGATAATGATGTTCTGTGCAGAGCCAGTGGGGGGGAGAACAGCATCTGCGAGTCTGGGGGATAGATTTTCTTACCGAGAGAATATACAGAAGGCTCCGCTGAAGATCTGATGTGGAAGACTGGACAGTCGTGAGAGTTGGCGTCTGGTCAACTCCCAGCATCTGGCTTGTGTCTAGCAAGAAGAAACAATTTTTAGAAACCAAAATGACATTTTCTTCTTTTTGAAAAAAATACCTGTTTCATACTCATTGTATCGGCCATAAAAATAATCACTTGCTAGTATGTCCAAAGACCTAAGGGCCAAAATAAATTGGACAGAAGTACGTAGACTTGTAAGAAATCAAACACATTTTCCCCTCCCTGTTCTTTTTATTTGCCCCCCCCCCCAGGAATATGTTTTTTGAGGGGTGCCAGTGATTTTATGTACAGTATGAGAAATAACAAGCAAATGTGGCAAGAACTAATCAAGCTTTGAGTGCATTTTCATCAAAGTACAAAATGTAGCAAGTTAAAATTCACTTTGCCCTTGAATTCCCAAGGTCTTGGCCTCAAAGGTACAGGTTTGAACTCAAGTGAAGCACGGTTCATTTTACACAGATCTGATGCATATGGGGAGGCTCACACTAAGTCACATTTGCAGGCCTACTTAAGCATTTTTTTAAAGAAATTATCAGTAAAATTGTATAGTATGAATTTTAAAAACACCAAAACAGCCCTGGCCGGTTTGGTTCAGCAGTTACAGCGTGGGCCCATGGACCAAAGGGTCTTGGGCTGGATTCTGGTCAAGGGTACCTACCTCAGTTGTAGTTAGGTCCCGGCCCTGGTTGGGTTCGTGGGGGAGGCAACCAGCGAATGTGTCTGTCTCAAGTCCATGATTCTCTCTCCTCCCCACTCTTTAAAAAAATAAAAATACGGAAACAAATGATAATGGTTCTTTATCTCAGAAACAGAACTGAACGGAGACAGAGAATATAGGCCTTAGGAAAAATAAGCACTGTGGTGTAATAAATATTGTGATTCCTACATACTTATGGTCTTCACTGGTGTTGAACAGTCAACTTAAATATTGGTTAGTACATAGATATCCGATGGGTTTCCCATGGACCCTTACCTCATCTTCTTGACTGCCTGCAAATACTGAGCAAGGCCACTGTGAGAGTGTGTGTCTGTGTATATGTAAGAATTCCAAATGAGTGAAGGGGGGAACCCTACCCATTGTCTCCTCTTCCATCAAGCAGTACAGATGAAAGATTCAAACTAACTGGTACTAACTAGGTAATCTAAAATTTCTTCTTCAGTAGTTATAGCCATCTGGTAATAATAGAAACCAAGAATTTAGAGGTTATAAATTCCAAGACCAGCTCTGCCCTGTAACCTGAGAAATGGTTTGGGGCAAATGCTTTCCTCTTGTCCCTATTTACTGATCTATTGATAATGACTTACAAATTTTTAAAAATTTATCGGTTAATAAAATTATATAGGTTTCAGGTGTACAATTCTATAACACATC